GTAGCTAACACGATATGAACGTTAGCTTGGAGGAAAGGCAACTATAATGCAGTGTAATAAAACTACTATGAACAAAAGCTAGTGGTTCATATTAGGCTAGCAATAACGTGTTTATAATTGCAATCGTATACGGGTATTCTGCTACCATACAATGTAACTTGCATGAATACATTGTTTTGCGCTAGCATACAGCTAGCCTCGTTAGCTACATGCAGTATATGTACGGTCACAATGTACGGTAAACCGGAGTATACTGTATGAGTATTCCGTGTGTGTGACTGCAGACATTCTCCTGCCATGACAAACATGTAAGGCCATCTGCTGACATTGTAGTTGATATATTTAAACGCTAGCAACGTAGCATCACAAAAATGTTTTTCTGACCAAAACTAGCTCAAGCTCCGTGTGTTAGATCGCTACGCCAGCTATAATGTAATTACGTTTCGCGACTGACCGGCAAATCACCCGCAGTATACTGTCAATAGGTATTTTGTGTGTGAATGCAGACATTCTCCTGCTATGAGATACATGTATGCAAGGCCATCTGCTGATATTAGAGTTGATATATGGAAACTCTAGCAACTTAGTTAGCACAGTTAGCACTGTGTCAATGGCTTAGCAGTCCAACACAGTTTACACATTTAAACAGTCTTGTTTGATAAATACACAAATAACAATGCAAACTTACAGGTTGTATACCCAGATCTTCCCCTGCTCCAAACGGTCCAAACAAGCTGTGCATATCCGGCCTCAAACTGGGCAATGTTTTTGGAAGCTTTCGTCTGTGAAATGCCGGTTCATCGAACCTCTGGAGGAGGAACACGCCGCTGCTGGTGTGGCCATAGCTCTTCGGGATTGGTCCATTTCGTTCCGGGTACCGCATGACATCAGGCGGTACCCGGAAGAATCAAATGGGCAGTGACGTATCTCCAACGAGGCGTTTTGGGGAGGTATTTTCTGTGTTAGAGTTTTACTCGCTACAGGGTGTACTTTGAGGGTTTTGACTCTGCACACCGTTTACATGCATAAAAACCTTCATAACACACAAGGGGACGGGTAATAACCGGAAAAGCATGACATGGGAGCTTTAACACTTGATTATATTTCACATCATTCATCCACATCTGTAAAGTAGCCTAACTAAAGGTATTAAATACATGTAGTGGAGTAGAAGTACACAATTTACCTCTGAACTGTAGTGGAGTAGAAGTACAAAGTAGCATCAAAGTCAAGTAAAGTACAAATATCTCAAAATTGTACTTAAGTACAGTACTTGAATAAGTGTACTTAGTAACTTCCCACATCTGAAATCAGATATGACTTCAAGTCATGTGATAATTTCTTAGTATTTGATCCTTCAACTTGGCCTCAGGAAATGCAAGGACTTCACAGTTTTGGCAACAAGTTTTGGAGAAAGCAAATCGGAGGCTTAAAAAGAGACAGGGAGGTGCATCTTCATCATCTAGCATGCAAGAAGTGTAAATAGAGGACAGTGAAGGAGACACTGAGGAGGACCACGCTTCGTGTGGGGTGAGTACCAAACGCTGTCTCCTGGTACTCATCTGAGTAACTCACTAAAAATGTTATGTTATTTGTTTTAATCTGGGAAGCCCACAGAGACAAACGTGTTTTGTGATATTGGGCTAAGGGCTATACAAATGAACTTTGATTTGATAAAACATTTCCTAGAAAACTGGGAACAGTGCTCTGCACGCCAACAACTAAGCTTACACAACTTGTGTGAGCTGAAGTTTTATTCATACCAGATGAGCTGTTGTATGGAGAGCTCTCAGAGCCTGGGATGGACACTTCCTTTCCTCAAGGAATGAGATCATATCCTTGACCTCAGACACACTTTCACACAGAGTGGAATTGGACTCTCTAAACTCTGCCTTGGTCACTGGTTGGACCTTGAGTCACGTGTGGCAGACATGCAGCATGTGTCCGAATGTGCCCACATGTTAGGAATAGCAGTCACTTCCAAGAACCACAGCCCACTTCCTCCTCCAGTCCTCCTGTCTGTATCTCCCTCTGCTGTCATCAGATCTGCTTATAGCACATTCAGCTGGGTGGTGGAGAGCCAAACTCTGCATCACCTGCTGCTAGACCTCAGATCAGCTGCTCTCACAGCAGAACACATGTTTCACGGCAGAAAACCACTTTCTTCTTCTTCTTTTCTCAAGCTGGTCCTGTTTGGTTGAGTTTTCCTCTGAATATGTGCAAACACCCACAGCTTCCTCTTTACAGCTCTGTTTCATGTAGGCAGTGAAATGCTATATGTGAAGCACAAATATTCTTGAGATCAAAGCAGGAAATCTCTGTTGCAGATTTAATTTGAATAAAGATGTGAGCTTACCACACTGTTACCTGCTGGTCATCTCTGCTTGAGGCTAGCGGTTCAAGGCTATATTGGCCACGAATAGCTTTTTTTTTTCAATCGAGAGTCCTTGGAATCTTTTTAATGTAGTTTTCTCAGTTTGATTGGCACCAGTGAGGCCAGGTTTCATCACTAACCATTGTCAGGATAAATGATGCATTTTCTTTCTGTTTAGGAATAAGGCTTTAAAGTGATATGACTCATTTTCACCAGCACATACTCTTGCTTTCTTTTTCCTGACAAGCCTGACTTAAAAAGAAAAATGTGTGAATGTACATTAGTGGCTCAGTTAAATGTGGTTTCTAGTGTGAAGGTGGAGATAATACATCACTTAAACATATAGGTTTGTAGGTTAAATGCTTCCCATCCATCTCCACCGCTATGCTGCTACTTTTTATATTGTGAACTAAAACAGAGTGTGTATGGCACACTGTCCTCTATTCCAATCTGTTCTGAAAGCCTTTACAGTAGCTGCACTCTTATTCCCCTGTATGTGTGTGAGTGTTTGTGTGTATGGTGTGTATCTGAATGGACCAACACGCTACATTTGGTCCAACATCATCAGTGCAGGTGTGACTGTGAGTGTATATGATTTACTGATGGCATCTAGAGGACACCCTGTGTTGACACATACACATACACATACACACACACTCAGAGGTATTCACACCCTTAAAGAATAGGCTGGCAGCATCTGGATTTGAGCTTACATTACATGCATGGGCACACACGAGAGGCTATTACTGACACACACAATGACTGCAGCGCACTTGACTATTTGGCAGTCACCCAGATACCCTCTGCTCACATAATATACTCAATCACTGAGACACACACACACACACACACACACACACACACACACACACACACACACACACACACACACACACACACACACACACACACACACACACACACACACACACACACACAATCGATGGCAGGTGTCGGCTTTGAAACACTGGATTTATGAGAATGTGGTTTTACACTTCTCCCCTTCAGGTGTGATTAAAGCTGTGGTTGTGTGTGTGTGTGTGGGTCCTTTTCTTACTAGCTACAGACTGAGATTCATTCCCATGCATGGTTAAACACAGACTATACACAGGCAGATGTCAAACTGGCAAAGTCTGACTTTAGCAACCTCAGTGTTGACTGGCTACAGACTTAATGTGTGACACACACACGCACGCACACACACACACGCAGGGTCTCAGAGGTTGGAGTTTATTTTGCTGGTGGGTCTTTAAAATGGGTTAGTCATGCATAATATATACAACAGGACTTTTCCTCGTGTTTCTCTTTCTGCTTTTGTTCTCCATCTTTGTCGTGTGTTTTCTTTCTAATGTTCTCACTCTTCTCTCTTTGCTCCTCCCCCTGTCCTACTCGGTAGTATAAAACAACAGAGAGCTCATCTTTTCTAATCACTTTCTTGCAGAACATGGCCAGTGTGTGTTAAAGTGAAGAATGCATATTTTGTGTTTACCACACTTCTTTGTTGTGTGTTCCAGCAGACCTGAATCCACAGCCAGCATCACTGTTTCAGTGTGGCAGTGTCCCTTCAGCTGCGTGTCCGTTAGTTAGTGTTCCACTTTAGATTCATGCCTGTGTGTTTATCACAAAGCACTAGCCATATATTTCAATTCTGTCCACGGCTCCCCAGCTGTGACAGATGATATTGTGTTGGATCAAATACACACCGTCTGCATGCTAACGATTAGTTACATCATTGATTCATCTCTAGATTATTTTCTTGTTAAACTGATTAATTGTTTGGTCTTTTTATTTTCCAAAAATAGTAAAAAATCTTCATCTCAGCGTCTCAAAGTCAAATGTCATGTTTTGTCAGTTATAATCCCGGATTGTGTATATAGCCACAGTCTAAGGCGGCATTTCCTGCTCTCTTACCATAAATAATGACTTTAATCGATGATCAATATAGCTGGCAATCACTTTTTTGTTGATGTACTAATGGTTGCAGTTCCACTTCCATTATTTCTTTAAATACTCTGTGTTTTCATTTGTTTTGCTCTGATAATTCTAAACCCCTGATTTGCTTTCATGCAGTTATATGCACATGCACAGTAATCACTATAATCAGCAGTAACCCAACATACATGATGTTGTGTAATTTTAAACCAAAACTAAGGCCTCAGGATGACTTTAAGACGTGAACATGGTCATTTTTGTTTTGTAACATTAAATAATAAAAAAAAAAATTTAAATTAAAAAAACAAACAAAAAAATTCCCGATCCCCGATTTTTTTCTCCCGATTCCGATCTTTTGAAAATCACGTGATCGGCTCCGATCCCCGATCACGTGATCGGATCGAGACATCTCTATTCATAACCTAGGATTCCAAGCCATCCCATTGGTTATCCAGATAGATCTGAGATGGATGGCATGTAGAGGTTCAAATAACACCTCGGTCTTCCAGTGGCACAAACATTAAGTATTCAAATAAAGCTCAAATAACCCAAGAATTTAAATAACACAAGTTTGAAGTTTGCCTTTTTGGTGTTTATTTGACAGAGAGCACATTTTGTAGCTGTTTTCAAACAACAACACCAGTCCTCTAAAAGCCCTGAGTCCTGACCGTGTGTGTGTTTGTTTTCCTCTCAGAGGGTCCCAGAGGGCGATGACGAGAGGAGAAAAAGTGAAGAGGACGACAGAGCAAGAGAAGGGGAGGAGAAGGAGGAAGAGGAGGGGAAGAGCAGTGATGAAGGGTTCATGGGGATGACCCCCCTGCTGCAGGCTCACCACGCCATGGAGAGGATGGAGGAGTTTGTACACAAGGTAAGGAACTCACTTATTTACTTATCTATACACACCGCCCATAAATAAGTCAATATCCCTTAGAGCAATGTTTGTTCTACCAAGATGAATCAACATTCAATAAAGCCCCATAGTAAAAGAACCCAATTAAACCATAAAAGCAGAGTTTAGTGTCCAGATTGCACAGTTTATAGGCTGGGGTTTACCTTTTTATCTATTTAACTTCTGCTTTATGTCTTATACAGATCAAAAGTCCAAAATACTTGGCAGTTACTTGCAGAAACCGAGCAGTACAGAAGTGATGAGACATTTTTTACAGCGTCATTTGGGAGTGCAAAGTTGATGAAAAAAAAACTGCTCCTTAGTATCATTTACTTTGATCGAAACATTCAGCACATTTTGTGGTTTGATGTTTTTTAATGAAAAGGACAAGTAGGGTCACGGTGACACTAAGGCTTGTAGTGTCTGTAAGAGGACACCGCTGGACTCGCATGGACTCACTAGTTTGGACTGATGTACACACACACTAACACACACACTAACACACACACTCACACACACACACTCACACACACACACTCACACACACACACACACACACACACACACACATACATACATACATACACACACACACACTCACACTCACACTCACACTCACACTCACACACATACATACACACACATACACACACACACACACACACACACACACATACTGAGAGCCTGCTAAAATTGCAAGCAGCAGGTTTTAAATTAGGGAGATAAATCACTGCAGAGAGAGTCTCCGAGGAGTCTCTCTCTCTCTGTTCTCTCCAATAGGCCGGCATGTATCCAACTTCAGTTTGTTTATTTATTTGCACCACTTGACCCTGATGCTGTTCATTTGACACTACACACACTTGTGATCACATACTGTACTCCCCTCTCACATACACACAGAAACACACACATCCTATTTATAGGACATTCAGTAAACAAACAGCTGCTTCTCTTAAAGGACAATTTGATTAGAAGTCATTTATTCCTTAACATTTTCCATTCACTCCAGTTGTTTTCTAAACTTATGGTGTTGCTATTTGTGTCCATTATTAACCAATCAGGTGTGGGAAGGCCGGTGGCGGGTCATGCCTCACGACGTGCTCCCTGATTGGTTGAAGGACAACGACTTCCTGCTTCACGGCCACAGGCCGCCCATGCCTTCTTTCCGCGCCTGCTTCAAGAGCATCTTCAGAATCCACACAGAGACGGGAAACATCTGGACACATCTGCTAGGTAGTACACACACACACACACACACACACACACACACACACACACACACACACACACACACACACACACACACACACACACACACACACACACACACACACACACCTACCTCTACGCTCCTGTTAGATCCTCACACCCAGTAATGACATCATAACCTCGACCCATTCAGTAAACCTGATCTTAATCCTAACTAGGGATGATCCGGTGACTTTGGCCAGTACCGATATCGGTAGAAAAAATATGTCATCGAGGTATAGGCCACATTGAGTATTGAATCATAATTCATATGTCATTCTCAATACTTAATTAATGAGTATCTTAAATGGTGCTAAACAATTACAGTTGCTGTATTTGTAAAAAGTTTGTTATAAATCCACTCCAGGGAGGTTGAATACCAAGAAGCAGCAGTATGATTCATGTGGTGGCTGGCTTAGCATTTAGATGGCTTAGCTTTACATTCAGTCAAATGTCTCAGTATCGGCAAACACTTAGGTAGTAGGTATCAAACATGAAAAGTATCTGTTAAAAGTACTGTACAGTGACAAATAAAACATCTGAACACACTACACTGTCAGGCTGTTTATTCACTTGCCAATATGTAGCGTCCTGGTTCAGCTCCATCACTGTCCTACAGCCTCCCTTCAACAGCTGGTCAATGAGCTATCTCGTACTTCTGTTTCAAAACGCAATCATTCCTCTTACATGTCGTTATGGTAATAGAAGATATCTATCTATCCTAGCAAGGAATATGATCAGGAATGTCCCTCAAACACATTGCTGTACAAACACTCTCTCTCATAGAACTTCCTCTTTATGTATATTTACTTATTTATGTCGCATGACACACAGATTAATCCGGTTATGCAAATAATATGTACCGTGATAAAAATACACCATGTATAAAAAGCTTCCCAAAACAAGTCCTTCATCAGATACCAGGGCAGTAGTTCTGACGTTGGGTGGGCGCTTGTTAGAATAATCAGCATTTGTGTTTTGCTAACTTTCATTTAAAGTTGTTTTACACTTTGTTGAAGCCGACACATCCATTTCTCTTTCTGTTATTGTTTAGCAGCTTGTTTGGCGTCTTCTGCCCCCCACCTAGTGGTTCAACAGAGATACTGCACCTGCATGCTTTGGTCATTTTAGTGTGACTCTGTTAATAGTGATGACTTCTTGTTTTGGTCTGTGTGGCTTGAGTAAGCAAGGTCTGTACAATTTATAAACTGGCTTTAATTGGTCGATTCAGTGGGAACAGCTGCGTCTGTAGTATCTTGATTCATATTGAATTCTCCCTGCGTCTCCGTGTCTCTCTCTCCGCAGGCTGTTTGTTATTCCTCCTCCTGGGCCTGATGTACATGTTCCGGCCCAACATGTCCTTCGTGGCCCCGGTCCAGGAGAAGGTGGTGATCGGGATGTTCTTCCTGGGCGCCATTCTCTGCCTCTCCTTCTCCTGGCTCTTCCACACGGTCTACTGCCACTCCGAGGGCGTCTCCAGGGTCTTCTCCAAGTAAGACCACAGCCCAGGAACTCACAGATTTCTAAGACTGTACATTCAAAAGACGTCCTTGTACAGCGTCTGTAACGGTGCATGTGTGTGTTCAGGTTGGACTACAGTGGGATCGCCTTCCTGATCATGGGCTCCTTCGTGCCCTGGCTGTATTACTCCTTCTACTGCTCCCCCCAGCCCCGCTTCATCTACCTGATCGTGGTGTGCATCCTGGGCCTGTCCGCCATCACCGTGTCCCAGTGCGACTTCTTCGCCACGCCGCAGTACAGGGGGGTCCGAGCAGGTACAGTGACATGATACAAACCTTTATTTCCACTCAAAATAAATGGTCAGCCAGTTCCTAAACGTTTTTTTCTTTTATTATGTTCATGTCATATGTTATAAATGCACCACAGCATGTCGTCAGACACTGTGCTTTACAAACATAATGACATCATCACAGGCAGCGTGATGACAGGTAACACATGAGCCATTTCTTTCTGCTACAAAAAGAAGGAATGCAACAGCTATTATATTTACATTTTAGATTGATTTAAAAGCTGCTCTAATCAATGTTTTATATAAGCTATGGACCAATGATCATAAGTGATGTGAAGTGGATCCCTCATAGTGATGCACAGCATCTTCCAGCTGATAGCTCAGGTTCACCTCAGTCTTTAGTGTTGTTTAACACAATAAAAAGATTTTAAACCACTGTGCACCCCCTGCTCTGCACCGATTGGCCGACAGGAACTATCTGGTGCACAAACGGAGCATTTAGCTGCTGACAAAACTGAGTGTGACCAGAAATATGACTCCTGCTTGTGTTGCTCTGTGTCTCTGCTGCACTGCCCCCTGGTGGCCGTAACCAAACGCTGTCATTTACAATGCCCCCCCCCCCTGTCTGTGCTCAGGAGTGTTTGTGGGCCTGGGTCTCAGCGGCGTGGTCCCCACCCTGCACTTCACCATCAGCGAGGGTCTGATCAAAGCCACCACCATGGGGCAGATGGGCTGGATGTTGCTCATGGCAACGCTCTACATCACTGGAGCCTGTCTGTACGCAGCCCGCATCCCAGAGAGGTTCTTCCCCGGGAAGTGTGACATCTGGGTAAGACACATACACACAAAATATTTAAACTAAATCTTAATAATGAAAAAAATGTTTTAAAATAAATAAATAAATAATAATGACTAATCTCCTCCCCAGTTCCACTCCCACCAGCTGTTCCACATCCTGGTGGTCGCCGGAGCGTGCGTTCATTTCCACGGCGTCTCCAACCTGCAGGAGTTCCGTCTCAAGGCAGGGGGGGGGTGCGCTGAGGACGACACTCTCTAACACACACTGACTCAGTCTGACACACACTGACTCAGTCTGACACTCACACATACACTACGGGGAGCCACTGGTTCTTATAATATGCACAGAATAACACACACACATAAAGCTAACAAACACACACACACCCCCCCCTCACCTGAGGACCAGTGTGTGTGCATACTACACAGGAGGGCCCCCCAGTGGGTGCTATTAAAACTGACTGACGAGGGTTTTTATTGTCTTTCTGTCCCTCTGTCTGTCCCCCCCTCCCCCCTCTGGCACTTTGATTATAAATCCTCTCCAGGATGGGGGGGGGGGGGGGGAGGAGTTAAACCAGTTTTTGAGACTCTGCTCTTTCCAGGAAGTGTCTCTGTCTGTGTGGGGGGGGGCGCGAGGCATCACAACCTCAATAATGCTCCGTTTCTCCTCAGTTTGAGTCTGACCTTTAGGAGTGTGATGCTTTGATTTGAAAAGGATTCATAATTGTGGCTTTTAAAAAAAAAAAAGAAGACATTTTGGGGGGGGGGGGGTGTTTGCTGAATCTCGCTTTCTAAGTCAAACTTTTAGAGTACTCGATAAGAAGAAAGAAAAGAGATGAGTGTATTTCTTCTGTGATTGTGAAGGTTGCAGGGTGACATGTTGGGGGGGGGGGGGGTAATCGTCTCTTTTAAAAGTTAAACAAAAAACCTTTTCCATGTAAATAAGATTTCTAAATTTTGGGTTATAGATTTGTATGAAATATGTATAGAAAATGCAAAAAAAAATCTAATGTGAGGGCAAAATAAATGAATATGTTAGATGAGGAGGGGGGGGGTGTTGTATCTACACTTCCTCTAGCAGTGGGGGGGTCTATAATACTGCAGTTGGAGGGAAGTGCTTCATCAACATGGTGGAGACACACAACATCTGCATATAGTCTCACAGCAGCTTTAAACATGCTGCTGTTTGTCTCCGTGGTAACCTACACCTTCTGACCTGACAACCTTAACATATAAACGAGGACACAGCGGGGGGGTGGTCCTCTACCCGGTCCTCTCCTCTTTAAACCTGTCCGATATCAGATCATGGGAACATTGTTGCTTAAAAACCAAATCTAAGTCCAACCATGATGTAAAAACAGTCCTCTGATATGTAGCCATTTTCTTTGATCTTGTGATGTATAGATAAAAGAAATCCATGTCACCAAAATCAGTTCATTCTTTTCTAATTCATTGTCAAACATATCATGGATAACCTGGAGATATTTTGTATAAACACGGCCCCTGAGTCTTATATCTATCATTCTGTTAAACTGCAGTGTAATTACAGTTCAGGTCCTTCGGAGACCCCGTCTGAAACACGTTTGGATTGGGTTGTGTTTTATTTATCCGCTGCTGTTTTTGGTATTATTTCAAGCTTTAATTTCTCTTTTTTTCCTTTTCTATTATTTATCAATGGTTTGTCTCTTTTAGCCATGTGAGGGGGGCACCAAGGGTCTCTCCCCTCAGAACAGCAGAGGGTCTCCTAAAGCAGGGTCCGCTTCAGATATGGAGACTTTGCCTGGAAAATAAAATAATAAAAAATGTGTTTCCTGCTAATACCAAAATCTCGCTCCTGAAGATGGAAAAACTGAAATTCTTAGCTAATCACGAACTCTATGATTTATTTTTAAAATGTAGGTTTGTACCTTTCTATTTGATGGCAGCTTTTTCTGAGCAGGAATTCAAACACATTTTGTCATATTTCTTCTTTTCTTTTCTTTATTCTCTATCTCATATTAATTTATTTTCTCATGGGGAGGGCGTTCTGTCTGTTGAAGCACACGTTCCATTTGTGATGGGAGTGTTTGGTTGCAATAGATCTTTATATCTGCTGTATTGTTCTAATAAAAGGTTTTTGAATCTGTCACTTTGTCTTTAGTGCTGAGTTTGTGCACGACATAACACACTTTAAATAAGAAGCTTCATTATTGCTCGTGTTATTTATACTGTATATCTTGTTCTTAATAATAATCATACTAATAAAAAAATAGTTTTCAAATCCTGTAAGTAATCAGCTTGCAGGGATATGAAATGTATATATTGAAAATTCAAAATACATTTTGAAATGTATTGTGTTGTGTGAAAGTTATAGTGTAGTATGTCTAAAACAAAAAGTGATCAAATTGACATTCGTAGAAAAATAGTATAGTGTGTCAAAAACTCCAACTAAATGTCTATTAAGGTAAGCTGACAAAATCAAGAACATTTTTATAGAAGATCTGAGATCATTGCATGGCCTCAGATCTACTTCCTATAGTAAACAAGTCTCTTCACTCAGGTGTTTTTCCACAGGCCCTGAAAACTGCAGTCATTAAACCACTCTTTAAAAAAAGAACAATCTAGATGCTTCAGTAATGAACAATTACAGGCCCATATCTAATCTCCCATTTCTAGGTAAAATCATTGAAAAAGTAGTTTTTCAACAGTCGAGTAATTTCTTGAATTGAAATAACTGTTTGGATGTGTTCCAGTCAGGCTTTCATCCAAACCACAGCACTGAGACTGCTCTTGTTAAGGTCTTCAATGACATCCACTTAAACACAGACAGTGGCAGAACTTCAGTGTTAGTATTATTAGATCTCAGTGCTGCGTTTGACACTGTTGACCACAACATATTACGAGACCGACTGGAAAACTGATCTGAACTGGTACTTAAAGTACAGAAAAAACGTTGTTTCTATAGGTAAACACACATCTGAGTTGACAAATATGACATGTGGGGTACCTCAAGGCTCCATCTTGGGGCCTCTTCTCTTTAACATCTACACAATAAGTCCTCCAACTCATACGACCAAATAGGTTGATTGTTCAAGCGCTTATTATGACCTATAATCACATTTGAAAGTTTTCGACCTCTAGTGCTCCCGTTGATTGCAAACGTTACAGAGGGTCATATATTCACGAATAACCCTCTCTGGAAAATCCTAAATTGTAGGATAGTTTGGCCATTAAAATGCTTTTTGATTAGATTTCTAGCGAGAAGTGTATATTGTACTTTTAGAATCCACGTCCAGTGGATGTGTAGGATCTATAGTTTGATAGATATTACGAAGATGATTTGAGGTTTCGCCAGGAGAACGTGTATATGCGGCAGCTTCCATGTAAAGTTAGTGTCAACCCTCACGGGGTGAAAACAGTATTTCCGGTCTCGAAGTTTTCATAATAAAACCAATGATCAAATGATTTAACAGTGATATCTGCAGTACTCATCCACTAAAAAACATCAGTTTATCCTTGTTAATTATACGACTTTAATTGGTTTAAATTGTGTACAATGCTTTTGTGTTTTTCCCATAGGTTTTCCCCTTTCAATTCTGAGAGACACATTTCTTTTTTCAGAGGTTTTGATAGGCTAAAACATCGAACTACCCATAATCCTCAGCTACCGTTCAAGCTTGGTGATTGGATGTTTTAGCGGCAATGCACGTTGGGATATGGTGTTTATGCGATATGAAATCGGAAAACATTTAAAAGAAAATAAATAATACTTTATTCCGAGTGTGCTTGCTTTTCTCTTTGGAAGTCGTCACATAACGGCATTGTAATACACGGTTCGGCTGCATTAAATATTACACATCTGCCGTAGTTCTTTATTTATAGAGCCCTGATTAGAAGACTTTTGGACAAACTGGAAGAAATGCCGCCGAAACTGAATACGTGACGTGGATCATAAATATATCAGCAATTACACAACATCTTCAATCTCTCTTCACACAATACGTCTCCTTGCAGTATCAATAGTTATTCGGCTGATTTTTATATTTGATCCAATTGGTAAATAGGCTGTATTTACACCATAACGGTGAACAGCTGATAGAAAGGGACTTGTAGTTTTTAAAGATATTACTGATTTTCTTTGAATTAAAGAATGTAATACACTGAGTTGAGAGAATAGTCAGGGGTTTTGGGTGATGGGAGACATATCTATGGATTCAGAATTTCAATAGCTTATAAATGACGGATATACCTTTCTGTCTGTGATATTTTACAAATCAGATATTAATGTGTATACACATTAATATCTGATATATTACATTATCATATATAATATATATGATATATATATATATATATATCATATATCAGCTATAATATTTCACATATTGTAGTTCAATAGAGTGGTGAAGTCGCTCCCCTTCCGGTGGACCTCCATGGGACCTTATTTCGGAAAAATTATGTATTGAAGTCAATGGAGAGAGAAAGATTATCTTTCGATCCCGTTTGAATTGTGCCACGAATTACACATATGATGTTTGTCAATTTAAAAGATAATTTTGCAAGTAAAAAAAAAAACTACCCTCACTATCACCACAATGAAACACGTCCTGAAGAAAGTCATGCAAAGCTGCCTGCCTGCCTTCCTTTGATTCTCTCTGAACTGCCTGGTCGTTTTAATGTTTAATGTCAACCATTTGTGCAGATAGCATGAAGTAGAGAAGATCGTCGATGCTAGCGTTAGCGTTAGCATTTCTCCCCCGGGCTTAAATGGTGTATTATAGAATGATCACACCGGTGACAGTACTCTTCAAAGGGTTCACGAAATATGACTACTACTCTTACTGTTTAACATTTTGGGTTACTTAATGTTACTTCATGTTAAGGCTAATACAAATGGCAAGGCTGTAATGCTAACGAACGTGCTAGCTACTAGCTAGCTTGATCTAGACACTCCTGGTCCTTTCATCAGACGGGAAGCGAAAGAACGAGCAAGACCCATTGCTGGTATAATAACAACCTGGTACTAAGCACACAGGCATCTTGTTAAAGTTATCTTATCTTAGCCAGCGCCATATAGATAGATTCTATCTATATGGCGCTGATCTTAGCTATCTCTTAGTGGAGGAAAACAATTGTGACATCACTTACGCGACTCTGGGATTTGTAGTCTTTCTAGTTGCGTATTTTTCATAGTCTTATATTTCAACAGTTTTACGACAAACTGTGACTTTTTTTACATGGAAATTATTTTTTAAGATTGACAAACATCATATGTGTAATTCATGGCACAATTCAAACGGGATCGAAAGATAAGTTTTCTCTCTCCATTGACTTCAATACATTATTTTTCCGAAATAAGGTCCCATGGGGCGGAAGTAGATGGGCGTGACTTCGCCACTCTATAGGACCCAGAGGTGGGAGTAAGTCCTACATGTGCAAGTCATGAGCAAGTCTCAAGTCTTGACCTACAAGTATCAAGCAAGTCCCAAGTCACTGTGGTGAGAGTCAAGCAAGTCAAGTCAAGTCATTGCTCAGGTCAAGTCAAGTCATACGAAATTCTGATGAATAAGCCCAGTTTCTGCATTTAAATCAGTTAAAAGACAGTGGTTATGAAAATGGATTCAACCCACACTATGATCTTCATTACATACACAGTTAATCATTTGAAATCTAATTTAGACCGATGACAATCATATTAGATTCATATTAACCTTAGAACTGCAGACAATATAGCTAGGACTAATCACGTTTGTAAAGCAAGGCGGATGTTGTAGTCCCAAAGGATTCTGGGTAGTGTAGTGTCTTCGGAAACTCTGTAGTGTCTAAACTCCGAAAAAACTATTTGTTTCTCCGAATCGAAGGTTAAAAACACAAAAGCATTGTACACAATTTAAACCAATCAATATTGTGTAATTAACAAGGATAAACTGATGTTTTTTAGTGGATGAGTAATGCAGATATCACTGTGTAATCATTTTACAGTGAGGGGAATACTTCCGGTTTTATTATGAAAACTTCGAGACCGGAAATACTGTTTTCACCCCGTGAGGGTTGACGCTAACTTTACATGGAAGCTGCCGCACACACGTTCTCCTGGCGAGACCTCAAATCATCTTCGTAATATCTATCAAACTATAGATCCTACACATCCACTGGACGTAGATTATAAAAGTACAATATACACTTCTCGCTAGAAATCTAATCAAAAAGCATTTTAATGGCCAAACTATCCTACAATTTAGGATTTTCCAGAGAGGGTTATTCGTGAATATACGTCCCTCTGTAACGTTTGCAATCAACGGGAGCACTAGAGGTCGAAAACTTTCAAATGTGATTATAGGTCATAATAAGCGCTTGAACAATCAACCTATTTGGTCGTATGAGTTGGAGGACTTATTGTGTAGATGTTAAAGAGAAGAGGCCCCAAGATGGAGCCTTGAGGTACCCCACATGTCATATTTGTCAACTCAGATGTGTGTTTACCTATAGAAACAACGTTTTTTCAATTTAGGATTTTCCAGAGAGGGTTATTTGTGAATAAAAGAATCTCCGGAGCATTTGCGATCAACGGGAGCATGTTGTTTCTTACACGACCACTAGAGGTGCTACACTTTAAAACGTGACTCTGGGTCGTAATAAGCTGCTGAACAATCGACCGGCTGGTTACAATTGAACGTGAGAGTGATGCGCACGCAGCTTGCCCAAACCGAAAGCTATGTTACGCTCTGAAAACTGAAAACTAGGCTTATTGCCATAAATATGATGATGGATTATCAGTAATCATTTCAAAGTGACACAGAGACATTGGATTAACCTTCAGCAGCGTTTTATGCGTTTTAATGCCATTGAACACAACTTTTGATCAGAAAACAGCAAAGGTAAGGCGTATTTCCCGTTTTGGCCCCGTAAAGCTACGTTGTGTGTTGTCTGGTTTCTCCTTCGCTGCCACGAGTTTTGGTCGCTCAGTGATGATACTTATACCATTGGAATCTGTGGAATCTCAGCTTTCATATGATATTTGTTTGTGCAGATCCGATGAAGTATAAGATATTTCTACCGTGAGTTATGTGCTAAGTGCGTTAGCAATCTTTTGCTTAGTGCTAATTCAGAGGCTCGGCATTAGACTTGTGTTTTGTTTCTGTAAAAATG